TTTTAATTTAAATTCATATGTGTTGTTTTTAATAAGGATGGTGCCTGATTTTAAATGTACGAGATATAAGTGCAATAAGAAACTGGGATTTATTTTCATACGTGATTAAATATATCGATTTAATTGCCCGTATATAACTTACAGCTTATCTTAATAGTTTAAGCCACTCGGTGGTAGTAATTATCTTTAAGGCTACGGTTCATTCTATGAATGTTGATAATATAATGTTTGATAGTATTTGTACACAGCGATTATGCTTTTCATAAACGATATATTTGGTATCGAAAAGCACCACAGTTATTTGTATATCGTATAGTATCATCGATATATCTATCGATGTATTTTTTTTCCTATCCGTACTCCATTCCATATATATACGTGCGTTAGTAATAGTTTACTCATAAAATGCATATAATTTAGGGATAACAATTTAATTAAGTTATTAAAGGCAGTCAGCATAGCAGGTGCAAAATAAACCAAATATAATTTAAACTCTAAAGTGCATATATGTGTGTGGGATTTCAACAAACGACGTCTTATAATAATATAAAAAAAAGGAAAAACATAATTTGCTGGCATTGTGTGTGTAAAAGAGACAGGGCAACTTGCTAATTTATTGTGCGTATGCGTTGAGTTCGATGTCAGTGTGACATTAATAGCGTTGTATTTGTAATATTTCTAAATATGCACAGTAGCCAGAGCCCAAAATATTTAGCGTAATCAACATTAGCAAAAGTTCTACAGCGCTTCCACCGATACACCAGCAACAGCAGCAGAAGAGAAATAGCAACAACAACAATAACAACAAGTCGGCCTCTGTCTGACATTTTAATGCCGCCTCCCCAATCGAATTGCTGATAAATACATGCAAAAAGCAACACCAACATCAGTAGGAGCAGCAGTCGCGTTAAGTGCTTTTACGCGAATTTAACGTAAATTAAATAACAAGTAAAAAACTATAAACTCTACGTACAACAACATTTATAACAATAGCGAGCTTATCACACGCACACGCCCGCAGCAGCAGCAGCAGCAGCAGACGCTGAAGCAGCAGCAGCCGCAAGCAAGAACAACAGTTTATCATATTTGAGCGACCGGCTGCGGCAGCAGTGGCAGCAGCAGCAGCCATCGTTAGCGCTGCGAGTGCGAGCGAGAGGCAGACGCGAACGACAACGTATATGTGTGCGGGTGTGYCTGTGTGTATGTGTGTGTGTGGGAGCAAGGCACAGGCAAGGCAAAGAGAAGCACCAACAACAAACAGCAGAAAGCAGTAACAACCGCAGCAGCAGCAGCAGAACACAACTTTTTTCCACAAAATTTTTGCATTGTTCAACTTGAACGCCAGAGTCAACCTTAAAGCCGACTAACTGTAAATTACAACAGCAGCTCCGAAATGGCACGCCACTTTGATCATATGTTCAAGTTGCTTATAATTGGCGACAGCGGTAAGTGCAAATGCAAATATTTCCATACACATGCAAGCTGCTTCAATACAATCATGCACACACTCACATACATACATATATTTTGCACATACAACATGCTCGCATGCTTGTTTCTCACCTGCCCAGTAGTGCAACAACAACGGTATAAATAGAAACAAATCATTAAAAAGCTAAAATAAAAAATAGAAAACATGTATAAACCTGCACGGCTTGTGCTCAATTCCATTTTATGTATTTTCGGCTTGTGTGTTATTTTTTTCGGTTGATTTCCTTGTTTGTGCTCTCTGTTTGGGTTAATCTGCGCCCAATCAGCTGTTCGTTTGTTCTATCTCCTTCTCTGTCTGTTGTTCGCTCAATGTGTAATGTAAAATAAATTAGAAATTTGCTTAACTGCTTCTAAATACATAATCAATTACCCATCTTTCTCATCCCGCCTTCCTCTCTCTCCCGCTCGCTCTCTCTGTCACTCTTTCGCTTAAATCTCTAAAACATTTTTATCGATGTAAATAAGGTAAGAAAAAAGAAACACCAAGAAATATTTGTTACACAGATGACTTGCCTTTAATTAATAAATTCCCAAATCAAATTTATTTATGTTATTACTAATTGTATTCTTGGGTTGCACCAATGTCGCCATTTGGCGAATCGGCAATTGTAATTAGAGAGCTGCCGGTTACCAAATGATTTGTTGTTGTATAAACAGAATGCCTCAACTATTGTTGCACACACTTGCACATGTAAACAAATGCATGTACATACACACATGTTTATTTACACAAATATGTAACATACATATGTATGTGCATACATACATATCTGTATGCTCTTTCAATCGATCAGTTTTACAATAGTTTGTTGTTTATTTCAGGTGTGGGCAAATCATCGCTCCTCATACGGTTCTCAGATGACACATTCTCGGGCAGTTATATAACGACAATTGGCGTCGACTTCAAAATACGTACCGTTGAGATCAATGGCCTGCGCGTCAAGCTCCAGATCTGGGATACCGCTGGCCAGGAGCGCTTCCGTACCATCACCAGCACCTATTATCGTGGCACGCACGGCGTCATCATTGTCTATGATGTCACGAATGGTGACTCCTTTGCGAATGTACGCCGCTGGCTGGAGGAGATTCAGAACAATTGCGACGTGGTCAACAAAGTATTAGGTGAGTAGCTAGATGGAGTACGATCGAAGCAAGTCTAAATCGTTATGATTTCAGTGGGCAATAAGAATGATGATCCGGATCGTAAGGTGGTCATAACGGAGGACGCGCAACGCTTTGCGCGGCAAATGGATATTGAGCTGTTCGAGACATCCGCCAAAGACAACATCAACGTGGAGGATATGTTTCTGTCCATAACGCGACAGGTGTTGGATCATAAGCTGCGTACCGCCTCCGACGAACAGCAAAAGGATCGAATCATAATAAAACAGAACAAGAACAAGGGGAAATCTAACAAATGTTGCAGTTGAAAGCGACGGAGCAGCAGCGGCAGCAGCAGCACTAGTAGCGATAGCATGTTGATGAGGATACGTCGTGGGGGCGCGTAGTACAGGTTCATATGGCACACACACACACACACACAACTTACAACACAGTTAGACAAACATATGTAGTTTACACACCAACACACACACACAAGACAAATTTTTTGTTTTTTTTTTGTTTTATTTTTTTTTTATAGATGCCTCGGAGCCATTAAAAGTGTAAAGCGCAATTATTTGTATTTAGCAATTTATATACATATTATACAGATACATGCATATAT